TTAAGCTTTATGTGGCTTAAAACCAGATGCAGTACTCTCAACAAGCCTCTTTGTTAATAAGTTGCCTGTAGCTAGATGAGTGTGTATTTCTATATTGTACTGTTCAGTGCTGTTTGTATGTGAACGGCTATTACCTTACTTTATCTCATTTAACACATACATGTGCATGCGTATATTTGTTCATCTTCACTAAATATGATACAGTCAGAATATGCTAACTCCCGTGTTTGTGTAAATGTATATATACTTATACATACACAAATCTCCTTCATCCACTATTTTCATATATTCTTTTATTTCAGAGTAATACTTCTTGATACTCGGGCTTATGTTTTCTCAGTATTCTACTATGTAAATTAGCACGTTTTGAAAATAGTTCGAAAGGAGTTCGTCTCTGGTCAGGTGAAGCAGCTGTTAGGCGGACTGTGTGTCACTTTCCCTTGTCTTTGTAAAGTTTCCTTTAGGAGTAATAGTACCGTAAATCCATGGTTTTGAGTAACAGACTCTTTAATTCACCAAATTTATTTTGAGGAAGTAGAAGATTATCTTTGGGAAAGAGAAACTGTGAGGAGATACGTTCATATTATATATTAAGAATAAAATAAACTTCCAGATTTTATTGCAGATTCAGCCTCATCTCCTAGCACTCCTTTGCACCAAGTGACAACCGATCGTAGGTGATTAATCATCACCAATTAATGTTTTTAAATTATAAGTGCGTATTGAGACAGGGAAATTAACGTTTTTAAAGACTTTCAAGTTTGGATTTTTTGTGTTTTTTTTTTAAGGTGGAAGAGTAACAGTTTCTCCAAGCATTCTGGCTAATTTTGATTTTTTTTTCATGGAGTCTCGGCGGGTAGGAACAGTGGAGGAATGCGGATGCAGTGAGAGCTGATAAATCCCTATTAGAAGTCGTTGGTTAGGGTTAAGACTGTAAAAATATGAAATTTACCAATTAAACATTTTTTATCAAAATTTTTTCTCCTATTCAGAGATAATGGCATAGCCCCAGCCCCTCCCCCTCATTCTGAGTTGGCCTCTGTCACAAAGAATAACACTGGCATTAGTCATAAAATAAAACGGAATACATCTTAGTTAAGTAAAATACATGTTCTAGTTTTGCTCAGTAAAGTTGTTACAGTTAGTTGTTTTTTCATAGGCTTGGTGTAAAAATTACTTTTCCTTTTTGATAAGCAAATTTATAGTTTTGTATGTCACAATTCTGTTAATAAAAACACTTGTGTGCTAATCAGGTTGAAATTTTGGTACTGATTTTAAATAGATAATCTTTAAGTATTTACCTTACTAAAAGAAAAAGGTACCTTTTTATATTTTATGTCTTTTTTGAAAGTAAGATGGTTTATAAAGGTTTGGTTGCATTTTCTGTTGTTGGAGTTCTGCTTATCTCTTGTTTAATTAATATAGACTTTGGGGGTTTCCGGTTTTATATATAGCTAAGTTTTGAAAGAGTTCATGCTTTCATAGGATGTAAAAGTTTGTCTTGACTATACTCAAATTTTTTGTTATTGGAGAAATGACTGGTTTTCTGAGGCTAGTTAAGTATTTATAAAGAAAATAGTAGGTGGCCCACTCTCTTGAATATGCTGAAGAAGTTTACCTGTTGTATATCAGTGCCTTGACTAGGGGTCTGCCAGCCTTCACTGGGATTTTGTGCAGTGCTCTG